ATCTATTCTGTTCTCTGCTAGTGAAGAATTATTTCTTACTATGCATTATTTATCCTGTCTTCCAGCAAGATAGTGCAGTGAAGGTCCCTTTGCCTTAAGTTCATTTAATAAATAAATAATTTTCTAGCTCTGTAGTTGCTGTTTTGCTTCTTGTTACAATTAGATTGTCTAAGTTCACGTTATAATTGGGGAAAGGTGGAAGATTGTCTCTGGCAGTTGCAGTCTATTTCCATTCCAGGTATTGCTAATACTTCCCATCTGGTTTTGTTGTTTCTGGTTTGTGTATCCACAGATATCGTGAATGGAGATACGAAGACTACAATGCGGATTCTGTATTGCTTGTATTCCAAATACAAGACCAAAGAAACATGAAGAGCAAGGCCAAGAGCTTGGGCTTTTTTTTCCTTTTTTTTTTTTTTTCCTTTTTTTTTTTAATTTTTTCCTAGCTTGTCATGGTCTCATGGTCTGATTTTTGGATTCCCAGCTCTGTTTGCCACTGTTTACGTGCATGCACTTGTGTTGGACACTTGATGTGTTAACATTGTATATGCAAGTATGTGTTCATGCAAGGTTTCGCACATACAGCATGAGTAACTGCAAGTATGTGTGTGTCCAGGGTCAATGTACTGCGTAATTCTGTGGCTGTAACTCTTGCTCCAGCCCTGCCTCTTGTTTTCTCTGAGCCCCCCCAATGCTGCAAAGAAGAGCAATGTGTGTTTATCCTAGACTCTGCATTCTTTGCGTCTGGAGGTGAATTTGGAAGCTGTTTTTGCAGCCTCCCCACTTCCCTGCTTCTGAGTCACTCTGGAAACGAGGGAGGTGAAAGACCCACCACAGCATCTCTGCGAAGGTTGCAGACACGCTTGAAGCTGAAGTTCAAAACCTTCTTTAGACAGGTGGCCGGCTGTTGTGGGGCAAGAGGATATGGATTGGACACCAATGGAGAAATGAAATCTAAACTTATCAAGTGTTTGGTAAAAGTTTCACCATTTGCCTGCTTGAATATGGAAAAGGGGCTCAGAACGACACACTGGCGTGAGGCTGGGCAGTAACAGAGGGGTCTCCTGCACAGCTGTAGAAAGATGTCCTTATTTCCGTGCTAAGCTAATGACAAACTGTGGCCAGCTCCAGCCTGTTGCAGCCCCAACATAATGTCTGACTAGCGGGCATGCCGATTCCTGTGTCAAGCACGTTGTAGAAGTGACTAATGCAACCGCACTTTCTCTCCGATAGGAGGTGGATAGATGCTGGCTTCCTCTGCACGTGGTAGAAGTAGAGGCCACCATGGGCGGGAGGAGTGAAGCTCTCAGCTTCTGCCACTTCTGAGAGCATACTCATGCTGGGGGGACTCTCAAAATCCTCTGAGACTCTCAGCGGAATTTGTCCAGCGACTGTCCCCAAGCATCCCAGCAGCTCCCTCTGGATGCAGCGAGGCTAGCCACAATTTATGTTAGCTGTCACCCTTGGTCTTCCTTGGGGGTTTCAAATCAGAACTCCTTCAAAACCTCCATCTACTCCCTTGACCTTAAAATTATGTCATATTTGTGTTGCATAAAGCTTGAGATCTAATTAAAAAAAAAGAAAATTTTTGTATTATTTTGTCTTCCATCTAAACTGATTTAATTTCCTGTCGTCAGTGACTCTGACATTTGATCTCTGATCCGATGCTTCATCTGTGTGTTAAGGGGAGACCAAAGCTCGCCTGGTATGAGTGCTGACATTTACAGATGAGAATTTGTTGTGTCTAGCTCTGGATCACACAGCCTAAGAAAAATCCTTAGATAGCAATGCTGATAAGTCTTAGAGTCCTGCCTTTGAAAATGGTAATACTGCACAGCTGCTGGAGGAAAGAGTTCTGCAAACTGCCGTGAGCCTAATCCTTTTTGCACCAATAATTACCTTGTTATGTTTTTACAGAAAAAAATCCAATGTGCGGTGCCAACGAGCTACAAGAAGGTCAGCTTGCTTCCCTAGCAAATGTTAGTTGTGCGTGCTGTTTTCAACGATTTAAGTAAAGAGTACTTGTTTTTATTTCTGCAAGTCTCCATAGGTATCTTGCTTTATTCCTTAATGGGCTTCAATTGACTGGGAGACCCGAGAAGTTTGCTCTTGCTCCACAGATCCCTGCTGCCCTTGCTGTAACATGGCAAACGGATTGTCGAATAAATTGTTATTGAGCAGATAGAACCGGGATGCGGCTCGTGGAGCATCGGGGCGAGGGGGCAGGAGGGGGTTTGGTGGTGATACGGTAGCAGCGTGGCCTTTTCCACCGAGGAAGCCAACCTGCATTTCTTCCCTCATGCTGGTGACCAGAAGTCATTTCCAGTGCGTGACTTTGGGCATAACCTAGAGGCCGTGAAGAAGTCAGTGGTGGGAGGATTAGCTGGTGCTGCCCTGGTTAGGTGGTTGTTACTGCTCAAGGAATCAGTTGGATTTTTCTCTGTGTGTTCTGAGTTTTGTGGTCCGCTCCTCCGGCGTAAGTAAATCTGGTGCTGTTACTTCTGCAGATTCCTGGCAGGGGAAGCCTAGTTCTTGATATTTACTAAAAGCAAGGGTCATATTCCCTTCCCAACACCAGCTTGCCTAAACCTGTTATGAACAACTCATCCTTTTGAAAACATACAGGGGAAAAAATGACAGCTCATGTGCTTGAATCAAAAATATAATGAGACTAAAAGCGAATGTTCTAATATTTTTTATGTTGTTAGCTAATTTATAACATGCTTGATGTCTCTGAATGCTTTGATAAAGAGCCTGTGTTTGATTTCGAAAACATGCTACAGAATTTTACCAGTCCATCATAGAGGCACCCACTTCATAAATTGGTGTAGAATATACAAGTGCACTATTTACATTTGAGATGTAGTCACAGAGTTGGCATAGTTCTTATAGTAAATATAAAGTGACAGCTAAAAAGAATATTCCAACAGTGTGAAACTGGGGAAAAAGAAAAATATATTATTGTTCTCAGATGTTACTTTTGCCTTACATCAAGATAACCCATTTGTCTTTTCTCTTATAAGTTAATGAAAACCAAACCTGCTTACTGTTTAAGCTGGCAAATTAGCTATGATATTTTGAATAAACTAAGCTCTCTGTATGTGAGCCTGTTCGTTGACACATAATTAACTTTGTAATTTTCATGTTTAAATCTAGATAGCAAGCTGTCTGCAATGGAAAAGTGTTGTGGACTATTAAGGCGGTGGGTTTTTTCAATTGTGCTCCTTAGCTAGGTATGCAAGTTTAACTGGGACGACTGTTCAGTTTTCCAGTGGAGTCACTGCCTGACTGTGTCACACTGTTTCCACAGAAGAACGTGCAGTCTGTTTATCTTTTAAATAACCGGTAGATGGTCCAAGGATTTCAGAGCCAGAGAAGAGCCCTGCAGGAGCTTCTGTCACTGTCCGTGTCTCAAAGATAAGTGGCACAGTGGCACCGCAGCAAGGCAATGGCTGGGGCATGGAACACATCTGAAGTGTTTCAAACTGCTGCTTGCTGACATTTTTCTGTTGTCCTGTCTTTCCAAACGATACAGCCGTGGATGTCTTTCCAGAGGTGAAGTGGCAAGGGTCTGCAGAGAGAAAAGTGGAAGTGGCAAAGTTACCACGATGGCTTAAAGGGAAGCAGCGGATGCACAAAAGTTTTCGTTAATGGGATCAAGGGACCGAGCCAGGTCCTGTCTGTAAAGCCAGGAGATCTGGAGATCTGTCCCTGTTGTCAAACCCCCTGCTCCTCCTCGGGAGAAGGATTACATTGCCATTTTTTCATGCTCTCATTTGGCTACAGCCCTCTAACTGGGACCTTGCTGGTGTGGCTCTCTGGGAACCGGGCAGATAAACTCCAGAGGGAGAATGCTGGCAGTCCCCAAATGCGCTTGATGGGTGGGAGCAGCACCTATTCCTCTGAGCTGCAGCCTATTCTTAGTGTCTATCCTTTATTTTCTTCTTCTTTTTTCCCTTCTCTTACTCTTTTCCTGAGGTTTCTATTGTGTTGCTTCTTGCAGGGACGCATCCCCACAGTCGCTTCCAAATGTCTCTTTGGCAATTAGGCTTTCAAACCGTGAAAGCAGCTAATCGAAATTCTGCCCCTCCATGAGCTAGAAGGGCATGTGTGCGTTTGCGTCTGTGTGAGGGGATCTTGCTGTTCTTTCTCTTACAGGTTTCTAAAATTTCCCCAAAGAATAAAAGCCATTGTCAATTTTTACACAAGTGATTTTTTTTTTCCTAGTCAATTAATATTATAATAAAGAATAGATGAAAGTGTTATTTTGGAGGAAACAAAATAGAGTATATGAGCCCTTTCACTTGCTCTGGAGATGGATGGGTTTCCTGTGCTACTCAAAATTTTCTAGGATGGTGACAAGGTGAACAGGCCACAAGGAATAAGATATGGAGAGATGAGTTTTGAGACTAGATATAATCTAATAAAGAGAACAGTACTGTGGACTGGAACATCCCTGTTGTCCCATCTTGTCCATCAGCCAGGTGTACTTTCTAGAACTTTAAAATGAAAAAAAAAAAACCCAACACAAAAACCACAACACAACAAACCACTTCTGTTTCTTTGACATTTTGATTTGAACAAAGTGCACCAGGGCACATTTGCCATTGACTTTTCCCCTTACCGCCTCCAGATGTCTAAGCCTTTTTCCCCTCTGTCATTCCAGTACAACTGGAGTCTCCTAAGCCATTCTGCTCCAGCCACTGGGCCACTGGCTAGAATTAAATTTTTTAAGGACTTTATCCACTGATGACCTTTCTCAGGCTATACTTAATGAATTTCACATACCTCAACAGGAAGCCAATAAAATAATATGAAACAACAGAGGGATGTTAGAGGAGAAGGGACGAGCTTAGTCAAATCCAGATGAATTTTATCTGTAGAAAGGTAGCTGGCTACTTGGGTGAGAACAATTTAAATTTAGGTCCTAAAATCTTGCTATCATGAAATGCTAGTTCAGGTACTTCATGCTGTCCCCTTCACCTGTATTCCAGGTGTCCATCAGGCTTTATCTCCTACAGAGAGCTGCAATCTGTGCTGGGCTCGTCCTCGCACAGTAGGAAGCACATGCTCCACGGCGCTTGGGTGGTTTAGTTTCTTTTGCGACAACTGTAGAGTTGTGCCCCTGATTCAAAGTTCAAATATATAGACTGAAATGTCTATGGTGTAATGCAAACACGCTCTTTTTCCAACTTTTTTAAATCTTTCTCCCACTCAACTATCCCTCCCCGCTTTTTTTTTTTTCCCCATTTGTCCTGGTTCCGGCAGGGATGGGGTTAATCTCCCCAGGAGCCGGCAGGGGCAGGTATTCCATCCCACGTGACCCATCCGGGGCTATAAGAGGCGCTAGCCGGGGTGAGGAGAGCAGTCGC